GTTTGACACAAAAGTAGGTTCATAGAGTGCCGCTCGCTTTAGAATTCAGCTGTTTCGGTCACAAACATATTCCTGTCCTCTTTCCAGAAATTGCGTCATTGCAGTGCTATGAACTAGGAAGAAGATGCAAAGGAGAAACAATCTCTTTTCCAAGGGTACAGCATATGTAAATTGCACGAGAAAGAAGAGAAATGGAAAATGAAGTTACTATAAGCATTGCACTACCCAGAAGTGCACAACTGCTCTTCTCTTAAGTAAAGCGAAGAGTTGAAGCTGAAGAAAATTTTAATTTCAATAATTGTGAAGACTACTGATAACAGAAGATTTTAACAGGATTTTACTCTTTCTATCATAGTCTTGCCGCCTTCATCTGAAACATCAACGTAAAACAAAAGAGGACACTTCAGAAATTTGTGTTGTTCGAGCTTCTCCGTGTAGGCTTGAGATTCGGTCTGATACTGCCGTCAGGCTACTGCAGGTGTTGTGATAATATGAAGCCCAAGTTCGTTCAGCAAATCTAATAAATCGCTGGAAGCAAGTAATAGTGGAACTCTTTCGCGTCAAATTCTCAGAAGCGATAGGTTGTAGTCACTGCCGGTGTAGTTTCGGTAATCCTTCGTTACTTTGATTGGTATAACTTTTGTTCATTTTATTGAAATTTTCGCGGATATCTTAATTTAACAGTGAAGTTTAAATGAATATTCTATGCTGTTTCTATTTCGATTACAATTTTTTTCTCACATCATGGGGAGAGCGGATAAGTTATTTATTCTGTATTATTCAACAATAAGCTAACATAATTGTGCATTCATTTTATTGTACCTGCAAATCACAGTAATGTATTAGTACGAGATCCGCAATGAGAATCTTGTAATTTGCTTCTAGTAGCTTCAGGGGAAGGTTTCCGTGTCTTTGATATTAACAGTTAATCTGTGTAGGTAAAGAACGCACTGGCTGAAAGCTCAATCAGAGATTTAAAGCCACCGATCATTTTTTTATCAGTTTTCCATTTTAAGTTAAAAAAGGGCTCAATAAATGCTAACAGCAGGTAGATCAGGTAGCATTATTATTCAAATCACAAGCTGGTAAACCGTGTGCTGATGGTAGTAATGAGATGTGGATGATGGAATATATCGGATGTTCGTTTGTGTAATTTTTCCATTACCGTTCATTCTAGTCGTGATGACGCCAGTTACCATCACTGTTGTCACTTCAAACTGCGACATTCACATCCCCACCTCGTTTCTGAGTTGTATGTCTTCGATGACGGGGTGTTTCATTCACAGGACTGAGTGTATTGAACAACACCCTGATAAGATCA